TCCTGGGCTGAGTCCTAGACTGAGTCCTAGGCTGAGTCCTAGGCTGAGTCCTGGGCTGAGGTCCTAGGCTGAGGTCCTAGGCTGAGTCCTAGGCTGAGTCCTAGGCTGAGGTCCTAGGCTGAGGTCCTAGGCTGAGTCCTGGGCTGAGTCCTAGGCTGAGTCCTAGGCTGAGTCCTAGGCTGAGTCCTGGGCTGTCCCAAGGAGCCCGCATGTGGGCCTGCAGTAGTCTCCCCCCCCCCCCCCGCAGGACCAGGGTGGTTCCCAGAGGTCACTGCCTCTCTCACAAAGAAGCAGCTCCCCACGGGCCTGGTTTAAGTGGGCTGATGAAGTTCTGACAGGCTCTTCCGCTCCTTCCTCCTCGGGTCTCCTTCCTGTCACAGATCTCTAGGAACCAGAACCCCCGGAGTCTGGGTATGGCGGGGGAAGGGAGGGGTGCTGGTCTGGGCCCTTCTGGGTTCTTCTCATGCAAGGCTCAGGCACTTCCTTCCTCTCTCCAAAGGGTCTGTCTTCCCCACACGCAGCTTCGTCCACAGAGCCTCCAGCGGTGGCCTGCGCTGTGCCAGCGCTCTCCTCCACCTCTGTGTGTCCACCCCAAGCTCTCGTCCTCTGCTGGGTCGGCTCTGCGTGCTTCTGCCCCCGCCCACTGTGGTGCCTGTCTCCAGGTGCAGGCTGCAGCCATGTTACCGGATGCTGTGCCTGAGTCTGCACCAGGTGGGAGCCGCCACGTGCCGGCGGGGGAGGGGGGCCGTGTAGAGCAGGCTGAGGGACACCATGGGGGTGTTCTGACACCCGTCCCACCCAGACCAAGGCCCACAAGACAGGCCTGGGCTGGGACCATTGAACCCAAGAAATGCCAGCAGTCCTGGACAGCTGCCACTGCTGCAGGAAGCTGAGGCTCGGGGGTGGACGCTGGGGCCAGGCCAGGTATGGCCACTGTTGCTGCTTTGGGTGGGGATGTGACATGTGACAGGTAGTTTACATAGCATTGACAAGGGGCTGACCAGGAATACGTGACCTGAAGATTGATAAATCTCACAGTGTCCTGAGACTGAAGCCCCTGCTCCCACAGGGCCATGGACAGCCCCCTCCACCTCCACCCTGCAGTCCAGGCTGGCCCTCCCAGAGGAGGGTCTGGGCTGCTGCTAGAGGGAGGGGTGGGGTGGGGAGAAGGGGGGAAGGGAAGGCTGGGGAGGGGTGGGAAGAGGGAAGGGTGGGGTGGAGAGGGGGGCTCGGGCTCCTGGTGCAAAGCTATCAGTCAGGAGGAGCTTGATGAGGAGCTCGGTGAGCGCAGAGGAGGAGACATTGGCTGCATGACCTAGCCAAGGAGGCCCAATGCCCACCGGCCTCCGCAGTCCAACCCCATCTCCTGGACGTGACCCTGTGTCTGCAGCATCCCAGCATGGGACCTCTTGAGGGCCCCAGTGCCCCCCCAACCCGGCTGCCCAGGTTTCTGAACTTGCTGGCGTGTGCATCAGCCTGGTTCTATGTGGTGACACTGAGTCTGAGTGCTCTGGCTCCTCCCTGCTTCTAACCCGTGTGCCCAGTGCAGACAGTACCTTCTGCTACACACAGCCATGTTTATCCTTCTACACACTCCTGTGTGCACACGCACCATCCTCACACCATCACCAGCACAGCACAAACTCCTGTGCACACTCCTGCCACACGCTGACACCACACTAGCTGCCCACACGCATGCTCACAAAGGTAGGAAGGGGACCCACACATCTGCAGGCAGGGCCCCATGTGTTCCGTGGTTCAGTGTCACGTGCTCATGGACACAGCTACACTGGAAATCCTCACGCTCAGCAGCAGGGCACGCTGGGGAGTTGCACAGTCCTGCCCCCATGTGGATGTGGGAGGAGAAAACAGCATTGAAACAAGCTTTCATGTTTAATGCAGAATTTTTCTGGCGGTGAGGCACTTCTTGACTCTGCCCAGGGCAGCAGGCGCTGAGGGCCAGGGCCTGGGGCTCAGGGGCCCAGCCCTACCCTGCCCTCTTTCCCCATTAAGGATGAGAAACACGTTTGTGATTGAACAGCCACACCAGGGCCAGTAATGAAAAACACTGTATTTTGTCTGGACAGTCTGCATCTACAGTGTGTACGCAGCTTAACATGGATTCTGTGCACATCAGCTACGGAAGCAGGTGAGAGGCTGGGGGCACAGGTGCTGGTTGCCCGATGCTCCTCTGCTGCACATCTGCTGACCCGAGGGACATGGGGATCCTGTGCTAGGTGCAGCTCACACACTTGTGTCAGGGCTGCCAGGCTCCTTACTCAGATACTGAGTGTCACCTAGCACAGCGCCTCCTTCGGCAGAGTGCTGGACTCACCCACCCCCTTCCCCCAGGCCCTTGGGGCTCACCCACCCCATTCCCCTGGACCCTTGGAGATCACCTGCACCCTTCCCCTGGGCCCTCGGGGGTCACCTGCCCCCTTCCCCTGGGCCCTTGGGGCTCGTCTGCCCCCTTCACCTGGGCCCTTGGGGCTCACCTGCACTTTCCTCAAGTTCCTTGGGGCTCTTCTGTGCTCCCTTCCCCTGGTCTCTTGGGGCTCACCTGCCCCCTTTCTCAAGTCCCTTGGGGCTCACCTGCCCCCTTCCCCTGGGTTCTCGGGGCTCACCTGCACCTTTCCTCAAGTCCCTCAGGGTTCACCTACACCCCTTCCCCCAGGTCCTTGGGGCTCACCCACCCCTTCCCCCGGGCCCTCAGAGCTCACCTACACCCCTTCCCCCAGGCCCTCGGGGCTCACCTACACCCCTTCCCCCGGGCCCTCAGGGCTCACCTATACCCTTCCTCAAGTCCCTCGGGGCTCGCCTTCCCCCTTCCCCTGGGCCCTTGGAGCTCACCTGCCCCCTTCTTCTGGGCCCTTGGGGCTCACCTACACCCCTTCTTCTGGGCTCTTGGGGCTAACCTGCACCCTTTTCCTTGGCCCTTCGGGCTCACCTGCTCCCTTCCCCCGGGCCCTCGGAGCTCACCTACACCCCTTCCCCCAGGTCCTTGGGGCTCACCCACCCCTTCCCCCGGGCCCTCAGAGCTCACCTACACCCCTTCCCCCAGGCCCTCGGGGCTCACCTACACCCCTTCCCCCAGGCCCTCGGGGCTCAACCTATACCCTTCCTCAAGTCCCTCGGGGCTCGCCTTCCCCCTTCCCCTGGGCCCTTGGAGCTCACCTGCCCCCTTCTTCTGGGCCCTTGGGGCTCACCTACACCCCTTCTTCTGGGCTCTTGGGGCTAACCTGCACCCTTTTCCTTGGCCCTTGGGGCTCACCTGCTCCCTTCCCCCGGGCCCTCGGAGCTCACCTACACCCCTTCCCCCGGGCCCTCAGGGCTCACCTACACCCCTTTCCCCGGGCCCTCGGGGCTTGCCTGCCCCTTTCCCCCAGGCCTTTGGGGCTCACCTGCTCCCTTCCCCTGGGCCCTTGGAGCTCACCTACAGCCCTTCCCCCAGGCCCTTGGGGCTCGCCTGCCCCCTTCCCCCAGGCCCTTGGGGCTCACCTGCTCCCTTCCCCTGGGCCCTCGGAGCTCACCTACACCCCTTCCCCCGGGCCCACAGGGCTCGCCTGCCCCCTCCCCCAGGCCCTTGGGGCTCACCTGCTCCCTTCCCCTGGGCCCTCGGGGCTCACCTACACCCTTCCTCAAGTCCCTTGGGGCTCACCTGCCTCCTTTCCCTGAGTCCTCAGAGCTCACCTGCCTCCTTCCTCAAGTTCTTCTGGGCTCACCCACTCCCTTTCCCTGGGCCCTCGGGACTCACTCACCCCCTTCCCAAGGCGCAGAGTGGGGGGCCCTGCTCCTGGGAGCTTCCTGTCCAGGGGGCAGAGCACGATGCTGGGTCACAGGGACACTGGCACTCAGGTCTGCAATGGAAACCCCAGTGCTCATGTGGCTAGAAAACACACTAATTCTGTGTATGTACATGTGCATGTGTGTGCATGTGAGCATTGTATTCTATGTGCACACGGGTGGCAGTGTGCAGACACATGCCTGTATGTGTTTTGTAGTACCTGTGTGCATGTGTGTATGTGTGTATGTGAGCCTTGTATCGTGTGCGCACACAGTTGGCAGTGTGCAGACACATGCATGCATGTGTGTGTGTTTTGTAGTATGTGCAGGTGTTTCTATACACGCTCACATGTGGTGTATGGATGTGAAGAGGCAGGTACGTGCATTGTGTGAACACACATGTGTGCCATGAGCACATGCACACAGACATGTGTGCACACACATGAATGGGTTCAATCATGTGGTGTGTGCATATGTGCTCGTGTAAATGTGTGTGCCAGCATATTGCAGACCGGGATGAGGCAGACAGGAGAGGGCAGACTCGGTCCCCGGGGTGTCCCCTGAATGCGGCCCTCTGCCCTTCCAGGGCTCAGACTGGCCTGCATCGTGGTTGACATCTGTCCTTGACATTGGGGTTTTTCTCAGAAATGCACAAAAGGAAAGACATTTTGTTTTGGAGACCACCAGACCCCACAAGCCCCTCTTCTTGGGAATGAGCACAGAATTGCGATGCTCACATTGGAGAGGAGCTGGTCCTCACAGCGGATGGCTTTGGAAGTCAAGTGCTCGGGCATTTCCAACGGCATGGGTCCAGGAGCCTGGCGGGGGAGGAGTGACAGGAGGGCAGCAGAGAGGCTGTGGAATCTCCCAGAGAAAACTAAACCCACGCCGGGGCGGGACACAGCGGACGAGACCCACTGAGAGCACCTGGGTTGTCCCCGCTGTTCTGGCAGGACAGGGCCCTGGTGGGCATGGAGGGCTGCGTGCGGGTGCCAGGCTGCCCAGGAATGGATGTACGGCATGGCCACGTTCCGCTTTGGGACCGGTGGCAGCTGGCCTGACCAGAGTGTGTTCCTGCTGGGGTCTCCCGCACAGAGTTGCAGCCGAGGGCGGCTTTGGCATCCCCTATGCTGGCTTCGTGCGGTAGACAGGCCCTCTGTGCTGAAGCCCTCCCAGGGACTGGTGGCACCCGGAGGAGGGTCACATTCCTGCCCCAACTACACAGTTGTTTCGTTTTTCCAGGGCCCTGTTCGGATGTTGCCTGTGCTGTCAGTGCCGAACGGCAGGCCTTCCTGGATGCCACCCCGGAGGAGCCCGTCGGGGCTGGGGCCGCTGAAGGACAGGGACGGTGTCCTGCGGAGCATCTCTAGATGGGCCGGGCCTGGAGGCAGCCGTGGGGGGCACCCGTAGAGCCCCGGGCTGGCCTCGCCACCCTCAGGCTGGCTGACCAGGGGGAAGGGGCCGGCCTGGGCACAGCAGGCCAGCGTGTGCACCCCCGCAGGGCCCTCCAGGGAGCTGGGGGGGCTGTCTGTGTGGGAGCTGGGGGCGCTGCCGTCCAGGCTGGAGGGGATGTGGTAGGCGTAGCTCTGGTGAGCGGCAGCCTGGTGTCGGCTGAAGTAGTGGGGCTTAGTTCTGCCCTCGAGGCATCTGTGTGGGAGCGGGGTGTGCGGGAAGCCGTCTCCCTCTGCCATGCACACGTGGGCCTCCTCCTCCATCAGCTGCTCGCAGTGCATCTTGGCGCAGCAGGGGGTGGCCGGTGGCAGGCAGCCGACGTGGCCCTGAGCAATCTGAAGGTTGGTCATCTTGCAGTGGCCGGAGGGCAGGTGGCCGAAGCCCCTGGGCTGGCCGGCACAGGGGGAGTCTGGCAGGCGGGCGGCGTGCCCCAGCGCATCCCCGTTGGCGTCCAGGGCGGGGTGGGCGCCGGGCGTGGAGGTGGCGGCATCCCCCCGGGAGGGGCAGCAGGACCACCAGCACTGCCACACGTCCTCCCGCTTGGCGCAGTGGTGGATGAGCACGAAGAGCCCCAGCGTCACGCAGAAGGCCCCGTACAGACAGCTGAAGACCATGTCCAGGAAGGGGCCTTGCGACACGGCCAAGGCCCCGAAGGTCCATGTGGCTGAGAACAGGAAGAGCGTGCAGGCGGCGGCCCTCAGCTGGGCCTGGAAGGAGTGCTCGTTCTGCAGTGGGGAGGCAGCCGGCCCGTCGCAGCCAGGGGGCGTGCAGGGCCGTGGCCCCGGGCAGCGGCTGCCCTCAGGCCCCGCCAGCCGCCGCCGCTCCTCCGGGTGCTCGTGCAGCTCGTACCTGCGCTCGGGGTGGCGCCGCAGCTGGATATAGGTGCCCAGGAAGTACACGCAGGTGACCAGTGTGATGAAGGCCGCTGGCCCATAGAAGGCCCCCAGGCTGGGCTCCCAGGCCATCCAGCAGCTGCGGGAAGGGCAGGTCAGGGGCCCGGACCGGGCCGGGCCCCTCCCCAGCCCTGCAGGACCGAGGGGGCTCCAGAGTGGTGTGGAAATAGCAAGGGGAGAAGAAACTGCACCGAAGCAGGTCAGGAATGAGATGCAGATCCAGCCGGCGGGGCAGAGGTACAGTGCAGGGCAGAGGCACAGTGCGGGGCAGAGGCAGTGCGGGGCAGAGGCAGTGCGAGGCAGAGGTGCTGCAGGGCAGAGGCAGTGCGGGGCAGAGGCAGTGTGGGGCAGAGGCACAGTGCAGGGCAGAGGCAGTGTGGGGCAGAGGCAGTGGGTGGCAGAGGTGCAGTGCGGGGCAGAGGCGCAGTGAGGGGTAGAGGCAGTGTGGGGCAGAAGCACAGTGTGGGGCAGAGGCGCTGCGGGGCAGAGGCACAGTGCAGGGCAGAGGCGCAGTGTGGGGCAGAGGCAGTGCGGGGCAGAGGCGCAGTGAGGGGCAGAGGCGCTGCATGGCAGAGGCGCAGTGAGGGGCAGAGGCGCAGTGCGGGGCAGAGGTGCAGTGAGGGGCAGAGGCGCAGTGTGGGGCAGAGGCGCTGCATGGCAGAGGCATTGTGGGGCAGAGGTGCAGTGCTGGGCAGAGCTATAGTGCGGGGCAGAGGCACAGTGCGGGTCAGAGGCAGTTCGGGCCAGAGGCAGTGCGGGGCAGAGGCAGTGCTGGGCAGAGCTATAGTGCGGGGCAGAGGCACAGTGCGGGTCAGAGGCAGTTCGGGCCAGAGGCAGTGCGGGGCAGAGGCACAGTGCGGGGCAGAGGCACAGTGCGGGGCAGAGGCACAGTGCGGGGCAGAGGCAGTGGGGGGCAGAGGTGCAGTGTGGGGCAGAGGCACAGTGCGGGGCAGAGGCAGTGCGGGGCAGAGGCACAGTGCGGGGCAGAGGCAGTGCAGGGCAGAGGCAGTGTGGGGCAGAGGCACTGCAGGGCAGAGGCACAGTGCTGTGCAGAGACAGTGCGAGGCAGAGGTGCAGTGCGGGGTAGAGGCAGTGCGGGGTAGAGGCAGTGAGGGGCAGAGACAGTGCAGGGCAGAGACACAGTGCAGGGCAGAGGCACTGTGGGGCAGAGGCAGTGCGGGGCAGAGGCGCAGTGCGGGGCAGAGGTAGTGCGGGGCAGAGGCGCAGTGCAGGGCAGAGGCAGTGGGGGGCAGAGGCAGTGCGGGGCAGAGGCACAGTGCAGGGCAGAGACAGTGGGGGGCAGAGGCAGTGGGGGGCAGAGGCAGTGCGGGGCAGAGGCACTGTGGGGCAGAGGCAGTGTGGGGCAGAGGCGCAGTGCGGGGTAGAGGTGCAGTGCGGGTCAGAGGTGCAGTGCGGGTCAGAGGCAGTGCGGGTCAGAGGCACTGCGGGGCAGAGGTGCAGTGCGGGGCAGAGGCACAGTGCGGGGCAGAGGCACAGTGCGGGGCAGAGGCACAGTGCGGGGCAGAGGTGCAGTGCGGGGCAGTGGCACAGTGCGGGGCAGAGCTACAGTGTGGGTCAGAGGCAGTTCAGGCCAGAGGCAGTGCGGGGCAGAGGCAGTGTGGGGCAGAGGCACAGTGAGGGGCAGAGGCACAGTGCGGGGTAGAGACAGTGCGGGGCAGAGGTGCAGTGTGGGGCAGAGGCTGTGTGGGGCAGAGGCAGTGTGGGGCAGAGGTGCAGTGCGGGGCAGAGGCAGTGCGGGGCAGAGGCGCAGTGCAGAGCAGAGGCAGTGCGGGGCAGAGGCACTGTGGGGCAGAGGCAGTGCGGGGCAGAGGCAGTGGGGGGCAGAGGCAGTGCGGGGCAGAGGCGCAGTGCAGGGCAGAGGCAGTGGGGGGCAGAGGCAGTGCGGGGCAGAGGCACTGTGGGGCAGAGGCAGTGTGGGGCAGAGGCGCAGTGCGGGGTAGAGGTGCAGTGCGGGGCAGAGGTGCAGTGCGGGGCAGAGGCACAGTGCGGGGCAGAGGTGCAGTGCGGGGCAGTGGCACAGTGCGGGGCAGAGCTACAGTGTGGGTCAGAGGCAGTGTGGGCCAGAGGCAGTGCGGGGCAGAGGCACAGTGAGGGGCAGAGGCGCAGTGCGGGGTAGAGGCAGTGCGGGGCAGAGGCAGTGCGGGGTAGAGGCAGTGCGGGGCAGAGGCACAGTGCGGGGTAGAGGCAGTGCAAGGCAGAGGTGCAGTGTGGGGCAGAGGCTGTGTGGGGCAGAGGCAGTGTGGGGCAGAGGTGCAGTGCGGGGCAGAGGCAGTGCGGGGCAGAGGCGCAGTGCAGAGCAGAGGCAGTGTGGGGCAGAGGCACTGTGGGGCAGAGGCAGTGCGGGGCAGAGGCAGTGCGGGGCAGAGGCAGTGCGGGGTAGAGGCGCAGTGCGGGGCAGAGGCAGTGCGAGGCAGAGGCGCAGTGCGGGGCAGAGGCACAGTGCGGGGCAGAGGCAGTGCGAGGCAGAGGCGCAGTGCGGGGCAGAGGCACAGTGCGGGGCAGAGGCAGTGCGAGGCAGAGGCGCAGTGTGGGGCAGAGGCAGTGCGAGGCAGAGGTGCAGTGCGGGGCAGAGGCGCAGTGCAGGGCAGAGGGAGTACGGGGCAGAGGCGCAGTGCGGGGCAGAGGCAGTGCGAGGCAGAGGTGCAGTGCGGGGCAGAGGCAGTGTGGGGCAGAGGCACAGTGCAGGGTAGAGGCAGTGTGGGGCAGAGGTGCAGTGCAGGGCAGAGGTGCAGTGTGGGGCAGAGGTGCAGTGCGGGGAAGAGGTGCTGTGGGGCAGAGGCAGTGCGGGGCAGAGGTGCTCTGTGGGTCAGGTTGGGGACTCCTGGGCAGGGAAGGGGGCAGAGGTGCTCGGTGGGTCTGGTGGGGGTCCTGGGCAGGGAAGGGGGTAGAGGCACTGCGGGGGTCGGATGGGGGGTCCTGGGCAGGGATGGGGGCACAGGTGCTCTGTGGGTCAAGTGGTGGTCCTGGGCAGAGCAGGGATCAGAGGTGCTCTGTGAGTCAGGTGGAGGGTCTTGGTCAGGGAAGGGGCAGAGGTCGTGGGGAGGTGTGGAAAGGGCACAGGAAGCACTGGGGTTCTGGGGGAGAAGAGGGTGTCACCAGAGCTCTGTCACCTTTAGGGGTGAGGCTGGGCTGTCACCAATCCCCATAGCATCTAGATCTGTATGTGCTGCTGAATTCTCACCTGCACCCAGGCCCTTCCTAGCTAAGGAAGTCATGCCTTGGGTGTCCATATGGAGCCTGTGGGAGGAGGGATCTATAGGCGGAGAGGCGAGTGGGGGCATGTAGGAGGAGGGTGTGTGTGGGAAGAGGGGGCCTGTGGGAGGAGGGTGTGTGTGGGAGGAGGAGGGTGTGTGTGGGAGGAGGAGGGTGTATGTGGGAGGAGGAGGGTGTGTGTGGGAGGAGGGGGTGTGTGGGAGGAGGAGGGTGTGTGTGGGAGGAGGGGGTGTGTGGGAGGAGGAGGGGGTGTGTGGGAGGAGGGGGTGTGTGGGAGGAGGAGGGTGTGTGGGAGGAGGAGGGTGTGTGTGGGAGGAGGAGGGTGTGTGTGGGAGGAGGGGGTGTGTGGGAGGAGGGGGTGTGTGTGGGAGGAGGAGGGTGTTTGGGAGGAGGAGGGTGTGTGGGAGGAGGGTGTGTGTGGGAGGAGGAGGGTGTGTGTGGGAGGAGGGTGTGTGTGGGAGGAGGAGGAGGGTGTGGGAGGAGGGGGTGTTTGGGAGGAGGAGGGTGTGTGGGAGGAGGGGGTGTGTGGGAGGAGGAGGGGGTGTGTGGGAGGAGGGTGTGTGGGAGGAGGGTGTGTGTGGGAGGAGGAGGGTGTGTGTGGGAGGAGGAGGGTGTGTGTGGGAGGAGGAGGGTGTGTGGGAGGAGGAGGGGGTGTGTGGGAGGAGGGTGTGTGGGAGGAGGAGGGTGTGTGGGAGGAGGAGGGGGTGTGTGGGAGGAGGAGGGGTGTGGGAGGAGGAGGGGGTGTGTGGGAGGAGGGGGTGTGTGGGAGGAGGGGGTGTGTGGGAGGAGGGTGTGTGGGAGGAGGGGGTGTGTGGGAGGAGGAGGGGGTGTGTGGGAGGAGGGGGTGTGTGGGAGGAGGGGGTGTGTGTGGGAGGAGGAGGGTGTTTGGGAGGAGGAGGGTGTGTGGGAGGAGGGTGTGTGTGGGAGGAGGAGGGTGTGTGTGGGAGGAGGGTGTGTGTGGGAGGAGGAGGAGGGTGTGTGGGAGGAGGGGGTGTTTGGGAGGAGGAGGGGGTGTGTGGGAGGAGGGTGTGTGGGAGGAGGGTGTGTGTGGGAGGAGGAGGGTGTGTGTGGGAGGAGGAGGGTGTGTGTGGGAGGAGGAGGGTGTGTGGGAGGAGGAGGGGGTGTGTGGGAGGAGGGTGTGTGGGAGGAGGAGGGTGTGTGGGAGGAGGAGGGGGTGTGTGGGAGGAGGAGGGGTGTGGGAGGAGGAGGGGGTGTGTGGGAGGAGGGGGTGTGTGGGAGGAGGGTGTGTGGGAGGAGGGGGTGTGTGGGAGGAGGAGGGGGTGTGTGGGAGGAGGGGGTGTGTGGGAGGAGGGGGTGTGTGGGAGGAGGGTGTGTGGGAGGAGGGGATGTGTGGGAGGAGGGGGTGTGTGGGAGGAGGGGGTGTGTGGGAGGAGGGTGTGTGGGAGGAGGGTGTGTGTGGGAGGAGGGTGTGTGGGAGGAGGGGGTGTGTGGGAGGAGGAGGGGGTGTGTGGGAGGAGGAGGGGGTGTGTGGGAGGAGGGTGTGTGGGAGGAGGAGGGTATGTGGGAGGAGGAGGGGGTGTGTGGGAGGAGGGGGTGTGTGGGAGGAGGGTGTGTGGGAGGAGGGGGTGTGTGGGAGGAGGGGGTGTGGGAGGAGGGGGTGTGTAGGAGGAGGGTGTGTGGGAGGAGGGGGTGTGTGGGAGGAGGGTGTGTGGGAGGAGGGGGTGTGTGGGAGGAGGAGGGGGTGTGTGGGAGGAGGGAGTGTGTGGGAGGAGGAGGGTGTGTGGGAGGAGGGGGTGTGTGGGAGGAGGGGGTGTGTGGGAGGAGGAGGGTGTGTTTGAGGAGGGAGTGTGTGGGAGGAGGGGGTGTGTGGGAGGAGGGGGTGTGTGGGAGGAGGGGGTGTGTGGGAGGAGGAGGGGGTGTGTGGGAGGAGGGTGTGTGGGAGGAGGAGGGGGTGTGTGGGAGGAGGAGGGTGTGTTTGAGGAGGGAGTGTGTGGGAGGAGGGGGTGTGTGGGAGGAGGGGGTGTGTGGGAGGAGGGGGTGTGTGGGAGGAGGAGGGAGTGTGGGAGGAGGGGGTGTGTGGGAGGAGGAGGGGGTGTGTGGGAGGAGGAGGGTGTGTGTGGGAGGAGGGTACCTGTCAGGGGAGGGGGCTATGCACACTCAGAGGAAGGGGGGTAGGGGGCAGGGGGGTTGTGGAGGCACAGGTCAGAGCCCTGGCCCAGGGCTGGTGTCTGTCTGTCTTCCCAGGGCTGGTGTCTGTCTGTCTCGGGGACCCCCTCGCTGCGGGTGCCTTGGCTGGACGCAGGGCGGTGTGGAGTGATGCTCGCCCCTGAGCTGTGTCGTCCTGTCTCCCCCCATCTGAGCATGGCGTCCATGCGCTCCCCCCCAACATGGAACCAGCACTTACTAGGCAGCGTCCTCGTCACCTGTTCCAGTCCCATAATTGCTGATGTTGGTGGCAGCAGTGACCCCACAGATGATGAAAGGAACCCCTCCGCTGATGAGGTAGAACCTGCCGGAAGACAGAGGGGCTGAGGCCTCAAAGTGGGCACCATTTTCCCTTTGGGGTGCCAAGGAGAGGTGGCTGGGTGCTGGGCCTGGCTAGCCTGGGGGCTGCAGACACCGGGGCGCACAGTGAACCCGACCTCACGGGACCTGGGGCGCAGTGAACCTGACTTCATGGAACTTGGGGTGGGGTGGGGACAGGCACCAAGAGGCAGAGCCTGCTGTACCCGGGCCGTGGAGGAGACCATGACCAGCAGGTGCTGAGTGCTTGAGCTCAGGTCTGGGGTCTTTGGCTGGAGCCCTCTGGACTTGTCCTCAGCCAGAGCGCAGGCCACACCCCAGCCCTTTGTCTCTGCATCAGCCAGTGGTCCCATGACCAAGTGGGCAGTTTTACAGCCCTACCGGGCTTTAGAAGGGCTCAGGCCCACCCAGCCCCCTGGAGCTGCCAGAGAGATGCTCACGTTTGAGCCTTGTCCTGCCCACGCTAGCAGGAGTTGGCTGTGGCCTGGGCTGACCTCCCCTCCCCAAGGCCTCCACTGCAGCTCCACAGAGGAGGATCAATCCAGCCCGCTAATCTGGTGTTGTGTGTCCTCACTGCTCTCCCGAGACATGGTGGCCTCTTGTAGGGACCACCAAGGGACCAGCTCCAAGTGGGGCCTGCAGAAAGGGGCCAGTGTCCTGCCTATCTCAGATAACCGCAGGGAGCAGCCTGGCACCATGGCCCCACAGTCAGTCGCGGGCCCCCTTTCCGGGGGTGGGACTGGGAGGGCTGCTAAGCAATCTTGGCCTCTCAGAGTTCTGTCTCCAAAGAACAACGTGCATGGGGCGTGGCGCACAGTGACAGTCCCAGGACAGAGTGTGTGTGACCACAGTGACAGTCCCAGGACCACGTGTGTGTGACCACAGTGACAGTCCCAGGACTGCGTGTGTGTGACCACAGTGACAGTACCAGGCAGTCTAGCTTGACCCAATACTGGCAGATCAACAGGTTTTGGGGCAGAGAAAAGAGGTCTCCATACCACCCTCTGCATTTGTCATAGCCAGTTCTGAAATCATAGTTGAGGATTTTAAGGCCCTCTTCCTAGCAAGTGTGGGTCCAGAGCTCAGTAAAGGGGATGTGAATAAGAGTATTAGTTGACCGACTTAATTGCTCCTTCTGACATATCATACCAACAGTGGTCTGGCCTCCTTCCCTCCAGGCATGTGAACTCTTCACAGGACAGAGGTAGAGGATGCCTCCAAGTGAGCCTCTAAAAATCCCAAGGATTGGAAACCACAGACAGGGCTCCTCTAGCCACAATTAAATGAGGAATTAATAGCAATAAGATCATTAGGAAAGCCCTAAATCTTTACAGACTTAAAACATACTTGTAAACAATTCATGGGCCAAAGAAGAAGCCACAAAAATTTTAGGAAGCCTTTTAGACAGAATAATAAGGAACATTCCACTTGCCCAAACTTCTTGTATGCAGGTGAAGCACAATTTAGAGGGACATTCACAGAGTTAAATGCTTATACTAGAAAAAAGAAAGATCTAAAATTTAATAACTAAAGATTTCACCTTAATGATGTAGACAAACAGAAGATCAAAGTAGACTCAAATAGATGGAAATGATGAAGAGCAGAAAAAAATAATGAAAAGTCGCCTCCCTGAAAAAAGCCAACAAATTATGCATTAAGGGTTAAAAAGGAGGCTGTATCATGGACACTAGAAGAAGTGTATGTGTACATAAGAAATAATCACATGGATGAGCTCCTAGGGAAAAAGGACAGATTAGAAAAGTTTAAAGCAAGGACAAATAGAATTACTTACCACTAGTAAAAATGTCAGTTTCAGCAACTGAACATGAGTAGCTCGTGGGCAGCATACCACATTTGAGATGATGTTAGCCTCACATCAGCGTTCAGATGGTGATGGACAGGGCCCTTCACTTGCCAGATCCAGGCACTGAGGTGTGGGTGGGGAGCCAATCAAAGCCAGACCCAGGCAAGGAGGCTGTGGGTGGGGAGCCAATCAAAGGCAGACCCAGGCAAGGAGGCTGTGGGTGGGGAGCCAGTCAAAGGCAGACCCAGGCACTGAGGAAAAAGTGACCTTCTCCAATGGACAACATTAAAATCTCTAGCAATAATAATTATACCCGGGCAAATGGAAGCTACAGCATGACCAAATAAAACTGGGAGCCAGTTTTTTAATCATAGAGGTCATCTACGCAGTTCAGAATGAAACGGTGATCACTAATGGATGATGGAAAAAATCTGGGAAAATGAACACATGTTCACCACAAAAACACAGCCAAGTAGGCACAGAAGGCAGTGCCCTCAGTTTCTAGAGGAGCCTACAAGAGGTTCTGCCACATAGCCGATGAAGAACATGTCTCCATGTGGGGGTGACACAGGGGTGCAGGAAAGACACAGGTCTGCAGGACAGCACCAGACCGAGACGTGTTTTGGAACGAGGCCATGCATAAACATCATCTGATGTGGATGTGGTATCAGGAGGCCACCGGACAGCAACTCAAGTATCATTACAAGGACATAAAAGCACAGTCGGAACCACAGGCCCAGCCAAGTTGCTTTCTGTGAAAGCTGAGAAATTCATTCTGAAATTGGTATGGGAGTATCAAGGACGTATCTTACCAAGACACTATGTCGTGGGGAAAGGACAATAATTGACAAAAGCAGGCAAAGACACAGAGCCACACAGGAGTGCCCCAGGTTAGACCCACAGCCACATAGGAGGAGAGAAGTCCAGGTTAGACCCACAGCCACATAGGAGGAGAGAGGTCCAGGTTAGACCCACAGCCACATAGGAGGAGAGAGGTCCAGGTTAGACCCACAGCCACATAGGAGGAGAGAGGTCCAGGTTAGACCCACAGCCACATAGGAGGAGAGAGGTCCAGGTTAGACCCACAGCCACATAGGAGGAGAGAGGTCCAGGTTAGACCCACAGCCACATAGGAGGAGAGAGGTCCAGGTTAGACCCACAGCCACATAGGAGGAGAGAGGTCCAGGTTAGACCCCCACACAGGAGAGGTCCAGATTAGACCTACACACACACAGGAGAGGTGTTAGACCTACAGAAACACAGGAGAGGTTCAGATTAGACACCCCTCCCCCCCCACACAGGAGAGGTCCAGGTTAGACCTACAGAAACACATGAGAGGTCCAGGTTAGACCTACAGACACAGGAGAGGAGAGATCCAGATTAGACCCACAGACAGGAGAGAAGTCCAGGTTAGACCCCCACACACAGGAGAGGAGAGATCCAGGTTACACCTACAGACACAGGAGAGATCCAGATTAGACCCACAGACACAGGAGAGATCCAGGTTAGACTCCCCCCCCCCCACAGGAGAGATCCAGGTTAGACACCCCCCCCCCCCACACACACACAGGAGAGATCCAGGTTAGACTCACAGACACAGGAGAGATCCAGGTTAGACTCACAGACACAGGAGAGGTCCAGGCTACACCCATAGTGGCTAGTGAAATGATTTTGAGCTCGTCAAATAAGGCAATCGAGAAGGACATTCCCTTTGACAGGAGTCAGAGGCCAGAAAATCCGTATTGAAACTTGGTTTATCTACACTGAATACAACCTCGCCCCAAGGTATGGCTCCGTGGCAGAGTGCTGGCTTAGCACGTGGGGTGGTGGGGCTCTGTCTTTACCCATCCACATCAAATAGACCTGGAAGGAAGACCAAAGCCACAGGATCTGTAGCACTCAGCTGAGTTCACACGGCACACTCCAGCTGAGTTCACACCATACACACCAGCTGAGTTCACACCACACACTCCAGCTGAGTTCATACCACACACTCCAGCTGAGCTCACACCACACACTCCAGCTGAGTTCACACCACACACACCAGCTGAGTTCACACCGCACACTGCAGCTGAGTTCACACCGCAAACTGCAGCTGAGTTCACACCACACACATCAGCTGAATTCACACTGTACACTCCAGCTGAGTTCACACCGCACACTGCAGCTGAGTTCACACCACACACATCAGCTGAGTTTACACCACATACTCCAGCTGAGTTCACACCATACACACCAGCTGAGTTCACACCGCACATTCCAGCTGAGTTCATACCACACACTCCAGCTGAGCTCACACCACACACTCCAGCTGAGTTCACACCACACACTCCAGCTGAGTTCACACCACACACATCAGCTGAGTTCACCCCACACACTGCAGCTGAGTTCACCCTGCACACTCCAGCTGAGCTCACACCACACACTCCAGCTGAGTTCACACCATACACACCAGCTGAGTTCACACCATACACTCCAGCTGAGTTCACACCGCACACTCCAGCTGAGTTCACCCCACACACCGCAGCTGAGTTCACACCACACACACCAGCTGAGTTCACACCACATACTCCAGCTGAGTTCACACCACACACACCAGCTGAGTTCACACCACACACTCCAGCTGAGTTCACACCGCACACTGCAGCTGAGTTCACACCACACACACCAGCTGAGTTCACACCACATACTCCAGCTGAGTTCACACCACACACACCAGCTGAGTTCACACCGCACATTCCAGCTGAGTTCACACCGCACACTCCAGCTGAGTTCACCCCACACACTGTAGCTGAGTTCACACTGCACACTGCAGCTGAGTTCATACCACACACTGCAGCTGAGTTCACACCACACATTCCAGCTGAGTTCACACCACACACACCAGCTGAGTTCACACCACACACTCCAGCTGAGTTCACCCCACACACTCCAGCTGAGTTCACCCCGCACACTGCAGCTGAGTTCACACCGCACACTGCAGCTGAGTTCACACCACACACACCAGCTGAGTTCACACCACATACTCCAGCTGAGTTCATCCCGCACACTGCAGCTGAGTTCACACCGCACACTCCAGCTGAGTTCACCCCGCACACTCCAGCTGAGTTCACACCACACACGCCAGCTGAGTTCACACCACACACGCCAGCTGAGTTCACCCTGCACACTGCAGCTGAGTT